GTTCAGCAGATGGCTTTTCTTCCAGTGTTACTGATGTAGTCTTCAGTGTTTGCACCACTGGAAAAGGTGGTGTTGAGAGACTTCTTTCCCATTGTTCTCAGAATAATCTCTTGGTTAAAGATAGTTATTTCAGCTTTAAAGCAGAGCAAGCTAGCTTTGATAAGCATCACCCTCATCTAAGTGATATTTTAAAAGGGAAAATGATAGTTAATTAAAATATGTACTTGGAAGAACTGAAGAATGCAGAAGACTGGTTAATCAAAATGGATGTGTTTTGGTAGTAGTGTATGTGTTAGATAATGCCTTTTGGGGGCTGTTGGTGTGCTAACTAATAAATAACAAGTAGAGTCTGTATGAGTCTGGTGAAAGTCATGGGAACAGCCAACAGTTTGAAGCAATGAAGATTAGCCTTGAAAAATGTAAAGAGGCATGTGCTTTGCAATGGTGACAAGCATTATGTTGCTTTGAGTGTCTGGTGCAGCTTGAGTAACCAAGTCAACTGAACAGTGAAATAGAGGGGAAAGGTTTACATTAAGAATGGAATGAAAGCTGCAGCTGTGTTTAAATTTTGCAAGTTCAGTCAGTTTCCATTTGATGTTATAAGTAGAGATAAATGATTCTATAAAATCAGGAGAGAGCATCTAATCTTTGACACTATGCTCTTTGGAAAAACTTTCTGTATCCCAAATAGTGGTGGTGTTTTCTTCTACTCCTTTTCTTCTTATCTCTTTTCTAATACAAGAACATAATATTCTCACTTTTCCATGTGTGATGTCTGCTGTCACACTGCACATGGGAAGCTAAACTGCTGTTGTAATTAATAACTTGTTCTCACTTCAGTAGTCCAGCTTGAGTTGGGGGTGCTTATCTGTTAATGTGAATCAAACCAGACTAGCTCAAGTAAAAGTACTCTCAGAATCATAGGATCATTTAGATTGGAAAGAACACTTTATGATGGAATCCAGCCATAAAACCTAACACTGCCAAGTCTGCCTCTAAACCATGTCCCTAAGTGCCACATCTACAGGTCTTTTAAATACCTCCAGGAATGGTGACTCAACTACTTCCCTGGGCAGCCTGTTCCAGTGCATGACAACCCTTTCCATGAAGAAATTTTTCCCAATATCCAGTCTAAACCTCCCCTGGCACAACTTGAGGCCATTTCCTTTTGTCCTATCACCTGCTATTTGGGAGAAGCAACCAACACCCACCTCGATACAAGCTCCCTTCAGGTAGTTGTAGAGATTGATAAGGTCTTCCCTCAGCCTCCTCTTCTCCAGTCTAAACAATTCCAGTTCCCTAAGCCACTCCTCGTAAGACTTGTACTCTAGACTGTTCAGAAGCTTCATGCCATAAAATGGCTGTATGGTGTAACTGTTGTTTGGTAGTTGAGGACATGTAGCTCTGTGAGCTGTTATTTCTCTACTGTGAGTAAGGGCAACAACACTACAGCTTCTCACCATAACCAGTGCCAACCCAGAAGGCTCAAGCCATAGACTTCAAACTTCATCATTGGAAGTTAGAGAAGGCGTATAAACCTGATTTCTGATTTGAATCTACGGTGGAGAGGATTAACTTGAGCAGCAACTTGCTTTTAATGGAACAGAGCAGGTGTAATGACACAGACCAAATTACCTTTAATAATTGGTCTTGAGAAGTTTTCGTCTTTCTTCAGGCCAATCATGAGGCAATTCCTGGGTTGGTCAGATAGGGCGAGTTCTGTTTCCATACTAACCTGGTTCGTAATGTACTAGCATTGGGGAGAACTTTTTAATGACAGTGTTGCAAACAAAAAAAAATCGATTATGATAAACTGCCATTTTTTTCTACCAAAACCTTTTTTGAAATTTGAGTTGGGTAAATATTTTAATTGCAAACTGGAAGCCTTGTTCAGCTGTTCTTCTGCTCCCTAAAGGGTGTGTTAGCCATTCACCAGATTACCATTTGTGTTGTTTTTATATCTCCAAGTTACTTTTCATGTTTTACAATGTATAAACTCTTCCTGTTTGATCCTGTTTTCCAATCTGATTGTTTTGTTGTGTTTTAAGTTAAAAAAACAAAACAAAACAACAAAGCCCAGAAAACCAAACCAAACCAAGGAAAACACAGACACACAACTTTTTCTAACACTTAGAATGTATTTTCTGGTTCCAAGTGACTGGTTCAACAGCCAGTTAATCCCCCTTATTTTTTAAAATGGCAGTCCTGATAAACTCTTCCTGATACTGAACTCCACAGAGTGCACCTCTAATACGGAAATTTAACACTGCAAACCTCAACAAGATGGCAGCAGTAAAAATTTTAAAAATAAATATGCTTGGAAGATGGCATTAGAACAAAGGTTGGACAAGCAATCAATCTTATATTTTATTTTTAAATAATTTAGGAACATCTTGTCCTCAGTCTCTTTTTCCAGAAGACTGAGAGCCAAGATGTAAGCCAAGGAAGGAAACAGTGTGCAATACATCCTAGTTCTCATGGATGCTCATTGTGCCTGAATTGGAAGAGGTTGAAATACATTTTCCTCCTCTGCCTTGTTTGAGGACAGCAAAACACTACAAAGGATACACATGGCTTTTCTTCACTAACTTATAAAGTTGGCCAAACACACAGAGGGAACAGGTTTTCTTGGGTATTAGTGCCATATGTGCATGTGGCTGCATAGCTTGCTGGCACAGTGGGAAAATGGTTTGTACTCCCTAAGCCGGTTTGTGCTTGATATGCTGGTACAGTGCTACCCTGTGGTGAGCAGGGTGTGCTGGACTCCCTCTGACTGTTTGGGACATAACACTGCCACGTACCAAGGCTATCAGAATGGGGCATACTCATACAGGACAAAGGGCCTTTTTAGCAGTGCTGCATATATTTACTAAGGAAGGTATTTGCCTGTCAATGGAGCTGTGGTTGATAATTGCCCTCTTGCTGACACTGTGTTGGGGGAAAAACTAAGTTCTTGTGCTAAGATCCAACTTATGCTGACAGGGTGAGTGGCAAAACTGGCTTCCTGCTGGCTCTCTGCACAAGATGAACTTCCAAAAAACAAAAGATCTGCCAACAATGGCACAATCGTGTGGACAGGTGCATAAGGGCATTAAACAACTGACTTAGCTTCTAATCTGCCTTCATAAATAAGTTATAATAGTACTAATACCTATTCTTGTGTTATGAAAGGGGTGTTATTTCACCTCTGGGTAAAATTACACCATGTAGGCTACAGTTTGTAAATTCCTCTGAATGGGAAGCCCTTCATGTTGAAAGAAGCTCATTGACTGCAATAAAAAGGAAGATGGAAACTGATTCTTCTTATGACTGAGCTTTCTAGAAACAAAACCAGAAGAAATTGAGAACTCCTTCAAGTTCATAATCTTGGCTGACTGTTATGACACAGTAAGGCTGATTCTTTCTGTGTGCAGCTGTATGGTTTGCAGTGTGAGAATTGGGCATCCAAATAAGGCTCTGTGGTAGTGGTGGGAACATGTTAATCCCTAAGTTTACTTTGTTTCCCTGCTGCAACCCACTGCTCACTGGGGTTCAAAGAAGCCCTCGGCATTTTTGCTTATTTGTACCAAGGTGCTACTGAGGCATAGTACTTGGGCTTGGAATTGCCCTGACTCGGGTGCAGAACCCTTGCACTTGGTCTTGTTGAAATTCATATGCTTTACACAGGTCCACCTCTCAAGCCTGTCAAGGTCCCTCTGGATGGCCTCCCTTTCCTCTGGGTCAACCATACCACACAGCCTGATGTCATCAGCAAACTTGCTGAAGTTGCACTCAATCCCACTGTCTGTGTCGCCAACATTCTTTAGTTTTAATTAAAAAGCAAAATCAATTATTCTTTGTAATGTAGATGTACCAAAAAAACTTTTGTAGGACAATTAGGGGTGTTTTTGTTGCCTGTTTGCAATGTTGTTTTGACTAATGTGTACAAAATTACTTTTTCTCAAGTGGTATTTACTCATTTAAGCTTTTGTTTTCATTCCACACACCAGATCCCTACAAATCCACTGCTAAAGGCAATTAAAAATGTACAAAGAAATGCTAAGGGAAAATTGGAGGGTAGATTTGATAGTCATGCAAAGAGAAAATTTTGGTTTGAACCTAGGCCTTCTTGTTTTCCCTCAAGCCATACATGGGGATGATTGTAGAAATATACTAAGGAAATGCTCACGTTAGTTTTAATGTGGATAAACTCTGCTACTGAGGTAAAGATAGCTATGGTAGCATGGGGATCTGTGTAGGCAGGAGCCCAAATACCTACCAGAATGGTGAAGTGTTTTTTGGAGCCTATACTGAGCTCCATACGGCTGTGGCAATTTTATTCTCAGCACTTGGGCAACCTTGGGTATC